TAATAAAACATAATGTTTTAGGAGAACCAATAAACAAATGAACTAAGCAATATTTCCAAAAATAAAAAGTATCATAATAAATATATAATAATATATATATTCTTATAAAAGGTATTTAATTTTCTAACTACTTTTTCTCAATATTTTTAAATTTTAAGAAAAAAATTAGCAAACACCCATGTAATACACGGGCGTTGTACTAGTAATGTAGTATAGAACAATATTACTCTAGACGTGGAGATACTAGAGAGAAAATTTCACTGGCGCGACTTATTTTTAGTAGTAAGTTGTCAAATTTTTAACACTTTTTTAAATTAATATATCAAGTATTTGCCTTATTCTATAGTAATAGATGACCATATATCACATAGTACTGCTACTACATTATTTCAAAAAATAGTAAACTGGAAAAATAAAAATTTAAAACTAATTCGTACAAAACCATTTATAAGTTAATATTACAACTAACTAATAACTAATTATAAAAGATTAAATTCACTTAAATTAATTCAATATGAGTTTTTTTAGTTAACTAGAGTTAATTTAGAAAAAGTGATATAGTTAGTTGTTTGTGGGATTTTGAGTTTATATTAAAATAATATTTAAAATAAAATAATTAAAGTTGATTTGATGTAAAAATAGGAGAAAGATGATGTATATGATGGTTAGTTAAAATTATGTGAGTGGATGAATTATGAATTAAAGTTGATATGATGTGTACAAATGATTAGTTGTTATTACTATTTAATGATTTGTTGTTATTATTTAATTATATTGATAATATTGATGATAGTGAGATTGAGTTAAAGTTGAATTAGATTTTATGTATAAATCAATTTGAATTTTGTAATTTCTTTTACAAACTTAGCCTAATAGATGGGTTAAATTTATAGCAAAACTCTTCAAAATCCGTTGGCAAATTGCAGATGTAGCAAGCATACATTATTAAAATTATCTAGTTCCAAATAAATGTATTGTAATCACTAGCATAATTGAAATAATAATACCATATATATTCTATTTTTTATTTATTTTTTTCTATCATATATAAAGTTTTATTTTATTATATATATAAAAAGATTAGCTCTAGTTACTAGAATAGCATATACATATGTAATAAATAATATTAACCTAGATAGATAAGTTACAATTGTATAGCGTATTCTGTATATTTATATCTTCACAAATATTACAAACTATGAGTAATCAAGTATTATCTAGGGGTACACAAAATATGGTTAACCGACCGAAACCGAAAATTCGGTTTGGACCGAAACCGAAACCGAATATTTGCTTCCGTTTATAGTTTTTTAAAATTTCGGTTTTCGGTTCGGTTTGGACATATTCTCTCGATTAACCGAACCAAAGCGAACCGAAAACCGATATATAATATATAGAGGGGAAAATTTATAACTGCCACATGTTAAAACTGATTTTTCAAAACAGGTCCTACCTATACACACTACCAAATATACCCCAAAATTAGAAATAGATAGACAAAGACGAAAAAATAAAAGAAATTAAAAATTTTAAACCTGAAAAAAAA